ATCAAATCCGATACCTTCAGTCCACTTTGAAGGCGAAGACGGGCAAGAACGGAGAATCGTCGACGCGCCGGGCGCTCATCGCCATGGTCGGTGACGGAATAAACGATAGCCCCGCACTCGCCATGGCAGATGTAGGTGTGGCGATCGGTTCCGGTTCGGACGTGGCCATCAGCAGCGCCGATTTCGTGCTGGTCAAGAGCGACCTGCGAGCGGTGGTCAACCTCCTAGACCTCTCCAAAACAGTGTTCCGTCGGATCAAGTTCAACTTTGGTTGGGCTCTTGTCTACAATGTCACCGCCATTCCTGTCGCAGCTGGGGTATTGTATCCGATTACCAACAACGGGGAGCATATCCGGTTGGATCCAGTGTGGGCAAGTCTGGCGATGGCGTTGAGCAGTATCAGTGTTGTGCTGAGCTCGCTTGCCCTCAAGAGTCGGATCCTCGGGTTGGGATTCAAGGAGAGGAAGATTGACGTGTAGGGCGAGGACATATTTTCCAAATACGTGTTGCTCCCTGCCACTTGGCTGTGGTTGCTGGTACTTTAATAAGCATTGGGCGGTGCTCGGGTGTTGCTGTCATGGATTGGAGTTGGACCTGAAGTGTCCCAAGGGTCCAAGGGGGTTGGTGGCATATCGTAGATACCCATAAGTCTCACATGGACACCATTTTGAGGTGTCTTGCTACCGTATCATCAGAAGTAATAGATGAACACAAAGTTGAGCGTGGTAAATGGGAATGTTTGCTTATCCGGAGCTGATTCATTGTCATGATGTAGGTGGAGGCATGTGCAGGAGAGCTGTGTTACGGACCAGGGAAATAATACAGGCGGTATTAGGCCGCAAGGGGACTTGTGATGAGGCCCACTTAAGCCTATCGATCGGGGACGCTTAGTGGTCGGGCTAGCCTCACTGCATGCTGCAGCTAGCTTGGGATGGCGTCTGTTCTTTGTTGACTTGGATGCGAGTTAAGTGTATCGAACCTGCAACCCACCGCCCGCCTATCCCTCTCTGGCAAACCCCGATATCCAACGTGCTCTCGATCTGCTCCAATCTAGAAAAGATCAATCCGAACCAGCGCTTCCAGGGGCCAGCTGTCGCCCAGTCTTCCGCGCTCGACACCGGTCTGTGAACCCTCAGTCGCACGACCACTGCTCTCACTGTGCTACCGTATCCCTCGAGACGATTCAAAAAGGACTGCTTCTCTGGCATTCTCAGCATTTGTTTCAGGTGCGACGACAGTATCTGGCGTGCATCGCTCCTATCGCTGCTACTGCCGCTGCCGCCGCCGCCCGCTCGGCGAATCAAAAGATTGTCCACCTACCGCAACCATGAATGCCACAGTGAAGCGTAAATTCAATGCCCTGTTGCAAGGGATCGGCAACCGCCCTTCCTCCCCCTCCACGACCGTTTCAGACTCCTCTGCCGCAAACCCACCACTTCGCGATGCGAACGAGAGCAGCACCGAGCTAGCGCACGAGTCATCGACATCACCCGCGTCCTCGAGAATGGGTAGCGATTTGGAGTTCTTAGCCAAGAAGCGCCGCGTCGCGGGGCCAACGACCGCGTCGAAATACGGAGCACTGCAGAACGAGGGACTCAAGGCGTCCGCTTCACGAGGAACTACAATATCGAACATTACATTGCGAAAATGGACGCCCAGCGGGAGCCCCGCACCCGAGAGAAAAAGCAATGTTGGGCCGCCAAAGTACTGCCCTGGTGACAGGGAGCAACTGTTGAGACGACTAGGGACCTTTCAAGAGCTGACGGACTGGACACCCAAGCCGGAGCGTGTGAGCGAGGTCGAATGGGCGAAACGCGGATGGGCGTGCGAGGGCAAGGAGCGCGTCAAGTGCACCTTGTGCGCCAGCGAGCTGGTGGTCAAGATCAACCGGAAGGAGGTGGACGGCAAGGAGATCTCGGTGCTGATCGCGTCCGAGATCGCAGAATCGGTGGTGAACATATATAGTGAGATGATCATCTCATCGCATGCGGAGGACTGCTTGTGGAGAAAGAAGGGGTGCGACGGTGAGCAGCGCAAAGCTCGCCCAATGAATCCTCTGATCAGGACATACTGACAACCTCATCCAGATTCCCTCCTTCGGCTCCCACTCCCCAACCCCCGACTAGCCCTGGAGAACCTCCGTCAACGATACGACGAGCTCTGCGAACGGAAGGACTTTCTCCCATACGAATTCAACCTCCGACTCCCCGACAGTTTCAGCATCGACACCATCCTGTCCTACCTCCCACTTACCTTCTTCACCGAACCACCCCCACCAACCAACAAAGCCCTTCCTCCTGGGAACACTGTCAGTGGCCCTCCCAAACCCAACCGTGCAGCCCTTGCGCTCGCCATTCTTGGTTGGCAAGGCCTCTCCAACGCGCGCATCGGCCCCGTCCCCAATAGCGCATCCTGCCACACGTGTCTGCGTCGCCTCGGCCTTTGGATGTTCAAATCCAAGGAGATCGACCCCGAGACCAACACTGTTCTCGTCCGCGCCCCCATGGACTACCTGGACCCGCTACGCGAACACCGCTTCTTTTGCCCGTGGAAGAACGGTGCGGCGCAGCGCAACGCGGGCGCGAAGCCCCTCGCTGCAGGGGAGGAGGATCAAGCCGGGTGGGAGATTTTGATCCAGGTACTTCGCAACGAGGCGTTTATCCGCCAACGCACGAGCGTCGCGCACAGCCGGAGTAAGAGTTCGGTGCCGCCGAGGACGACGGGTGTTGCAGGTGGTGTTGCGGGTGTTGGAGGACATGCTGCAGGGGCCAAAACACCCGAAAGGCCGATCACATCGGCGGGGTATTCGTTGGTAGAGGGTGACGAGGATATCGAGGACGAGGAGGTCAGAAAGAAAAAGGATCAGGCAATGATGTCGAGGCTCAGGAGGGTCAAGAGCCTGTTCAATACAAAGGCTGGGAACAAGTTGAAGCGGTTAGGGAGCAGCAGGCCTGGGACCTCACATTCCAATGCTGCAGGAGAGTAGGCATGTATACGAGAATGGGGGAGGGAGTTTGAGGTTTGATCGAGGTGTATGACTAGAGTCGTTACAGAAGTCAGGCTTATATGAGGTGTACAAGTACTATGTTATCGACTCAGCAGCATGTTGAAGGGCTAGTACCAATTCCAAAGATGGCCAAGAACCATCCAACCCACATCAGCGCCCATCCAACAACAGCGCCACACTTAGCCGTGTATACCCGCTAAACCTAGTCGTCAATCACAATGACGTCGACCTCTGTATTGGCCTCCTTCACGAACTTCTTGATGACCTTGAACTCCATCTTGATCTCGGCGTCCACAACCTCGGAGTCCACGACCTCGGAATCGACGAACTCGGAATCGTCGACCTCGATGGAGTCAATGATCTCCCAGTCCACGTTCTCGACTGGGGAATCCATATTCACGTCATCATGCGGGCCAACCTCGGCTTCCTCGTTCTTGACTTGAACCTGCATCTTCGTTAGTATTTGTCAGTTGGAAGTTGTAAAAGACGGTCACCCACATTCTTCTTCTCCTCCTCCTCCTCCTGCTCCTGCTGAGCGACGGCCTCGACCTCTGCCTCCTGCTCTGCATTCTGCTGCTCTTGCAGTCTGGCGCGACGAGCTTTGATCTTCTTGGCTCTGAGCTTCTTGGCCAGTCTCTCCTCCTAGAGTTCTTGTTAGTTCCCAGGTAGTTTGAAGTGAGAGAAGGTTAGAGATTGAGAGGCAAGTGTGGAAGGTGAAGCAGCAGGGCGAAGTAGCATAAAATAGCAACATGCCTCAAACATGGCAATCGCCTCAATCGCGTCCAAGGTGGCGTTGGCTCGCCTGAGACTGAAGGGGTAGCACCCGTAGACGCGCTGGAGAGTCTCAAGGCTTAGATGGCCGTCACGGTCGCGCCTGAGGTCTTCGAATGTTAAGCCCATCCTGGTAGGCTTGATACGGTAGTCGCCATTAAGGGCCAGCTTTTCCATCGGGCGAACTGGGCCTGGTCGAGTGGGCGACTCAGGCGGACAGTTGAAATCCATGGTTGCCCAGGTTGTGTTGTGTGTTGTGGGCAGAGGGATTAAAGGAATGGGAGTCTTCCGTACCTTAGTAGGAAGGAGGAAGGTTGGTAGGAAGTTGAAGGCGAGCTGGGAGAAGAGAGGGGCAGAGTTGAGAAAAGAAGGCAGCAATACGCCGAGTTTCGCAAACTTACGTTGTTAAGCAGAATCTCCTTGATGGCCGCGATGGCAGCTGTACGCTCGTCAGGTGTAGATGTGGCGAATGTAGAGTTGATCACATCAAGGTATGGCTGGGGCAGACAGCCATACTCATTGATCCGATGGAGCTTGATGGGCGGCATTTTGAGCGGCGGTGGTTGAAGAGTTGCCTTTTCTGCTGACTTGCCGATGTTTTATCTTGAGGGGAGAAAGTACCGCCAACACTACCGGAAAGGCGGTAGAGAACATGAAGCTGGTAGCGGAACGAAAGCAAGCAAGCCAAGTTCGACTTCTGGAGAGGAAGATGGGAATGATTAACTAACTAGCAGTTGTGAGAGAAACTCAACGATTAAAGTGGCTTCCGTACACAACCTCAACCGGAACAGTCAAGCGCGTTCGAGTGGGTAGACGAGCCCAGCCAAGAATAGATGAAATATCTAGATCCTTGCTGTGAAGAGGTCAAGCTCACGACGGCGAACCACCCAGCTCGTCCATGCCGGGGCATCACAAGCTGGGGCGCTTCTAAAGTAGACGTGACTATTTACTGCATGGTAAAGCAATTGATCACTCGGAATCTTCGAACCAAAGTCCAATACTGGTTTTTCGACTCCATCGCCAGCCTAGCAACGCACTGTTGACCCTCGAAACTCAGGGGCAATCAACCCGCCAACCACCACAGCGCCACCACCGAACCGCCATCACTCCCCTAACCCCTCCCAACCAAATCAATGCCTTCCCCTCGCTTCTCCGATGCTCCTATGACTTCAAACTCCCAAACACAAACGTTCACGATTCAGCAAAAAATCGACAAAACATCGGGGCTGGCCGGGGATTGAACCCGGGACCTCTCGCACCCAAAGCGAGAATCATACCACTAGACCACCAGCCCAGTAGCCGTGCGTGCTCCAATTTTCGTGGCAACGGCTCACGGTGATTGGAAGTTGGGTCGCTAGGGTAACTTACGAAGGCTCGGCAGGGGCAGAGTGGTGGGCAGGCAAAACAATTTGAGCAATCTGATCCGGGGAGGGGTGCGTAGGAGGGAAGAGGAGACGGAAGGGGGCGGAGAAGATGGATGTGGGAATGAATATTGCAATGCAATGAATTGGGTTGCGAGCCCAAGTCGGGCTGGGCTTTTCATGGGTAGTAAATCCAGCCACAGGCGAGTGGGCAGCTGTCCAGGCTGGCGCGGTTGCCCACTGTCAGCGCTGCAAAAGAGGACGTTCCGTTAAACCGAGCTAACATCCGCAGACATCATCATCTCGCAAACGAAGAGTGGGAGGCGGCGCCATTTTTAATACGTGAAGAGTCTTTGACCGCTTGTTTTCCTTTTTTTTTTGCACTCTATCACAAAACGCGCCAAACGGGGTAGCATGCAGGCGGCGGACAACGACATTGGTCTTTGACAGCCTCCAATAGGGGCTCACATTTCGCTGGCCACTATGTGCACTGCCGGCTAGCCCCCTATAGTCTATGCCACCGATCCACTGAAATATGACCAATGGTTACAATTACTCTACATTTCTTACTACACGTGAATACATCAATATGACGATGCTCTCCAGTACGCTGCTGCAAACCGACTCGGACCATCCTGTCCGGTAATTGCTGGTCTCATGATGCAACCGCTGTGACAAATGCTCGCACTGTTCCGTTGTCCAACGCTGGGGTATTCCTACTCGGTACAAAATGTTATCCAGCCCAGTCTCATCGCATCCCCTGTCTCAAGCTGGAATGACCAATATCGAAAGCCCATAACTCCCAAATTCGTAGGTAGCTAATAATCTGCTCCAACCCAGTCCAACACAGCACATACCATCTCAACCGCAAACAAGCCGCCCCTGGACAGCAGCGCCAGAAGCGACTCTATCAACAAAACCGCCAGCCACACCGTGGCAAACGCCGCCTCACTCAGCCGGGCGATCCCACGAGCGGCACGCGCAATAGGGTGGGCGTCCCCGAGGAGTTCGGCCACGATGGCGACATGAACCCGATGACTGCTGTCTGTCTGCTGCCGGGCGCCAGCTAGTCAATGCCCGCCGCCAGCCATGGTCAGCACTCGGCGGTTCTTGCGCATAATCTGGTTGAGAGCCTTCTCAAGCTTCTCGGTTTCCTTCCGGGCAAGGGACAACGCCTGCTCAGCATCCTCGTAAGACATCAGCGGCACGCCAGCAAATGGCCCGCTCTGCCCCATGTTTGGGGCCGCGGCGTTGTTGTCCTTGTACCCAGGGAGCGCGGGGATCATCTCGTCCATGGGGGGCGGCATTGATGTCGGATCTGAAATCGCCTCGGTCTGTACGTCGAAGTAGGCCTCTAAAGTTGGGTCCACTGTGTCGGCGAAGGAGCCGACGGGGCCAGGGTAGTTAAGCTCTGGGGCTGCTGCGTCGTTTCCGTACTGCGGGCCTTTGGTCCCGTACATCCAAGGAGCAAGCAGGTTGGCGGCCGCGCCGGTTTTGGCGTCTGGGCCCCATTGCGTGTTGAGCTTGGAGTGGGGGAAGCTCACATCCCTAGCATTCAGGTTGAGCCGAGGCAACACGTACTGGTTGATGTAGTAAATAGCTTCCTCGCGCTGAAACTTGCTCATCGGATCCGTAGGATATGTGCCAGGAGCTGGGGGGAAATAGCTCGGCGGACCATTCGGCACAGCTCGGCCCTTGATCAAGCTGAAGCCGGTGGAAGTTTCGTGGCGAGAGGACACGAACACCGCAGGGCTACCCGCCTGTTCTGCAATGCTCCTCTGGAGGGCCAAAAAGTGTTCTTCTTCCACCTCGCTGAGGTTACGGATGCAGTCGCCGTTGGGTGTGAGAAGAACCCTTATTCCGTCCAGGACCTTTCGGACGGGCTTGCCGGCGAGAAGCAACGCTTGATCCTGCTCTGTGACAATGGACTTGGTCGGCGCGATACTATTCTTGCCGGTGTGCTCGAGGTTGCCCGTGGGCAGCGCGTCGCTGCGCAACTTGTCTGACTGCCAACTTGTTGGCTTGAAAAAGGATAAATCGTCGAGGCTTTCGGGTACGAGTCCTTCCTCCCGAAGCTGCTGCAGAACCATGGCGGGAGTTGGCAGCGACCTCGGCGTCGAGGTTTGGTCAGACATTCTTGAGCCGCCCACCTGCTTCCCCTTTGGATCGGTGTGTCGAGTTTTATGCAGAGCGGCGTCTTCTGTCAACATCGTAGTCTCGTTTGCCGTCGACCGGTACGCGGAAGTTTCCTCTTTTGCCTCCTTGACTTCTTTGATAAGAGGCGGAGGCGGAGGCGGAGCATGCGGGATGGGGGTTTGTGGGCGACTCGTCGCCGGGGTGGCACTATGGCTTATTGGCTTCTCCTTCTCCTTCTCCTTCTTTTGCTTCTTTTTGCGGCCCACGATGGGTGCGATCTCGACCTCGGGCTCAGGCTTGGGGGCTGGCGCTGAGATGCTCACAGTATCCTTTTTCAGAGCCTCTTTGCGTTGTTTGCGCTGTTGGCTTTTCGTGGTACTGCGAACAGGAGCCGATCCAACTTTGCTCGGAGGCGGTGAGTTCGTCCGTGATGCCGAAATTGAGGCCGAGATGATGGACGCACTATCAGATATCAGCTCGCTCACCGGCGTCTCGGGTCGAATGGCAGCAACAGCGGCTGATCGAGCAGATGGGGTGGGCAACACTGCTGAGCCGCTTGCACCAGCAGGCGGCACATCTGTCTTGGGCGTTGAGACCACTCTAAGAGTCTTTGGCGGCGCCCTTGCAGCTGGTGACGAGACTGAGCCGATTGGAGCTGGTGGGAGAGCCGGAAAAGCAGAGTCTGTTTCCGCGGACGACTTCTCAACGGCGGAATGCGGGTCCGCAGTCTTGGTCTGCGAGGCCTTTGTGGCGGCAGCAATATTTAGAATTCCGGGTGTCGGGCGCTTCTCCGCTGCATGTGTCTCGGTCTTGACGGCATTTGTGGCTGCTTTTGTGGATGCGGACTTTTCCTTTTCCACAATCTTCTCTGCGGCTTTCTTGCCGGACGAAGGGGCGGCCTTTCCCAAACCTGCCTTTGGGGCGGCAACCGGTGTCACGGCGGGCTGTGAGACCTTCGGCGTGCCCAAGGCGGGGAAGTCTTCATCTTGCAACGTCTTCTGCGACTTGGCCTTCGCGATGTCTTTGGAGAGACCGCTTTCAACCGCAAGAATCTTGATGTTCTTCTTTGCCTCTGGTGCCGATGACGCTGTGGCTTTCTTACTGCTTGTGGGTGTCGAAACGCTTGCCGCAGCTGGCTTGGCTGGGATTATCGGCAACGCGACTGGGGGCGTTTGACTGCGTCCGGGAGCCAGTAACGACGAGTGGGATACAGCGGGAGACGGATGACTATGTGGCAACGGTGGCCCCAATCCAGGTGGGACCAAGGGAGTCGCAACGCGACCAAAGCCCTCGAAGGCCCCGGGCGGCTGCCGGATGTTGACATCCACAGGCTCATCGGATACTAGCGCGTCCACTATTGTCGCAGCACCCTCGAGAGAGAGGAGATCGTCATCTACGTTGCCAGTTAGCCTCCGGGTCTGACAATGCTCAGTGATGGTGGGGTTGTGCAGCGCGAAGGGGAAGACCACTTGGCTGATGGACAGAGAGGGGCGAGAGGGACACAGGAATGAATCAGCACCGCCATTATATACAAGAAAGGCCTGGGTCACGTCGGGACAGCCATCATCATCCACAATATAGGGAGAGGTGAATCGCCGTAAAAATGCTATATTGCCATTGTTCCAGCTCAACCAGCTCAACCGACGGTACGAAAACTGGGCCCCCAAGTTAACGTACATGAAAGATGTAATCTCGAAGGAAGACGATGAAAGCTTGCCTGACGTGACCCAATAAACCCCAACCATGCAAAGTCCCTGAGCACCCAAAAGCAGTGCTCCAGCACTCTTGTGAAATGCAAGACGCCATAAGGATGGTTGCCCTTGTTATGCTCAATGACTCCAAACGCAACTTATTGATTGCCTGATGAAACCCCGCCCTTTCTCTGTCCAGACGCCTTCGTGATAGGGCTGCGCGATGCAAGCCACATTGCAAAATAAACAAAACAAACTCCACACAACCTGGAAGCCAGGCCCAAGAAGAAAAAGTGATCCGTCGCTGATGAAGGTGATGTTGGCAAAGAAATCACCATGCCCGGTATCCCGCATTGTACATCATGCTGGGATTGTTGTACCCACCTTGGGACTGGCCACCGAACAGGCCCTGTCCGAGTCCACCATTGCTCTGTTGCTGCAGGTGCTGCTGAGACTGCATTCTCGCCTGCAGGATGCTCGGGTCCGCAAGATCTACTAAGCCACTCCCCCCAGAGGAGGAAGTGTTAGCGTGCCTGTGCTTCTTCCCCTTTTTCTTCTGCTTTGAGCCGAAGTCTTGGAAGGCCCCAGGCTGAGAACCGTAGAGCGATGCCAGGAGGCTCGAGGCAGGAGCGGGGGTTGAGGAGTTCGAGGGCGGATACTGGTTGGGATATGAAGGAAACATGTACTCACGCTTTCCCGCATCATGAGCCTGACTCCCGGCCCCTCGTCCGCGATTGAATAGCTGGAGAATCTCGTTTGAGTCCTTGGAAGCGCCGCCAAACGCGGCCGACCCAAACCCATGCTGTCCAAACATGCTAGGCGGTGTGCCTGTAGACTTGAGGCCAGGAGGAGGTCCCGGCATAGAAGAGGCATAGTACTGGCTTCCAGGTTGGTTGTGGAATGCAGACGGCATCATCGACGACTGCTGCGCCATGATTCTTGGGTTTGCCGTCAGCTTGACCGCCGTGGATGAAGTTGCATCCCTGTTTTCGTTTGCAAAGCTGAAACGAGAACCTTGGCGGTTGTGGCCCTGGCCCTGGAAAAGGTTGGCTTGAGCGGTGATGCCAGGGGGGAGATGGTCGACAAAGGCGCCTTGGGGCCGCATG